AAGAAGTTGCGAGAAAATGGCAAGTTCCTGGTAGATGAGCCCCGAAAGAGGTCCGGAAACTTTCCTAAAAGCACGAATACGCAGTGTCTGAAGTTCTTGAGGGACAACGCTTTAACACGGCAGTATTTGATCACTGTCGGCTTGTACGAAGCGCGAGCTAAAGGCAGCCATCTTTAAAACAGGTCGACGACCGATCTAGTGGCAACAACAGTTTAAAGACTCTAAAGAATATCAGATCGCATTTCAGTGGCCAAATAAGTTGTAAGTCTTTCTCATGCTTTCTTGTCAAAATCTTGACAAATAAATCCACCAGCACGTAAAGAGTTTCTTCGCAAAACGACACTCCAAATGTGGCTATTTTTTCTCAGAAATCGCGTGATTTTGCATACTTTTGTGACTCAGCTACCAAATTTGGACAAGGTGTAACACAAGTCTTTATTGCGTGATCCACATAAAAATAAGTTTCCATGTGTGGAATTTAGTAGAGTTTAAGACAATTACAAAATTATTTGTGTAACTTTGTTTGGTTTAATGTTTTGTCGTAAAACGTTGATCAAGATGAGTTTTGTGTAGCGTACTATCAATCTCGCATTTTATCTAAATGCTTAATCATGATAATGTTGATCTTGAAATAACTGGGAAAAAATTTTAAAATAGTAAACGATGATGTAATCGAACTTGATGCAGGATAAGGGTGCAGAAAAGAATGAATAAATGGCCCAGGCTATCTAGGCATGTCAGGGTGGCTGATAATATCTCTACTTTTGAAATAATAGTTTAAACTTTTTTCAGAGAAACTTTTTAAGCTATTTAAAATGTAGTTTAACATCATGTGTCCGATATTCGAAATATAACTCTCGTGCTCCTATCATACATTATATTTACTATATAGAGAGATATATTGCACATCATTTATTCATAATTTTTTTTAGTTTCTTAGTTTCATAGGAGTATCCCTAGTATGGTGCTTTGGTGCTTTTGGATGCTTCTGTCGCCATTGTGTTTTCTTTTTTAAATTTAGTTGATGAATTTGTTGAAACTCGGTTTAACAAATGAAGAAATAAATAACTACGGCTTTTGGATCAGGCGCAATGAAGCAAGACACCAAAATTTGAATCGACCATCCGCACAAGATGTGGCGGCACCGCGCGGTTTTAATTGAGTCTGAAAACGATTACGCGGGTTTTCAAGCGGAACAAGAAAAGGAAAAGCTTAAGTCATACTGACTGACTTGGTGGGAAGACAAGCTTAGCAAAACTTTGAGATCCACACGGCACATCNCCGGAAACTTTCCTAAAAGCACGAATACGCAGTGTCTGAAGTTCTTGAGGGACAACGCTTTAACACGGCAGTATTTGATCACTGTCGGCTTGTACGAAGCGCGAGCTAAAGGCAGCCATCTTTAAAACAGGTCGACGACCGATCTAGTGGCAACAACAGTTTAAAGACTCTAAAGAATATCAGATCGCATTTCAGTGGCCAAATAAGTTGTAAGTCTTTCTCATGCTTTCTTGTCAAAATCTTGACAAATAAATCCACCAGCACGTAAAGAGTTTCTTCGCAAAATGACACTCCAAATGTGGCTATTTTTTCTCAGAAACCGCGTGATTTTGTGACTCAGCTACCAAATTTGGACAAGGTGTAACACAAGTCTTTATTGCGTGATCCACATAAAAATACGTTTCCACGTGTGGAATTTAGTAGAGTTTAAGAAAATTACAAAATTATTTGTGTCACTTTGTTTGGTTTAATGTTTTGTTGTAAAACGTTGATCCAGATGAGTTTTGTGCAGCGTGCTATCCATCTCGCATTTTATCTAAATGCTTAATCATAATAATGTTGATCTGGAAAAAACTGGGAAAAAATTTTAAAATAGTATACGATGATGTAATCGAACTTGATGCAGGATAAGGGTGCAGAAAAGAATGAATAAATGGCCCAGGCTAACTAGGCATGTCAGGGTGGCTGATAGTATCTCTACTTTTAAAATAATTTTTAGGAAAACGACCAATTTTTTAAGTTTGCAAGACATGTTTCGACAGAGCTTCTGTCATCTTCAGTACTTAGCCACGAGATCTCTTAATCCAATAATTTTCCATCATCCAAGACCTGTATAGTGCGGTTTTTTGTATACTAGAAGCTCTTGAAGAGATTTTTTGAAAAAGTGGTATAGTGGTTACATTTGTCACTTCACGTCAATAAGCGACCACCCACTGAGAACATCGAACACACGCGATTTCTTTGCAAGCCATTGCAACGTATAGGCATCAACGAAATCATTTATATTGTTGTTTTCAGTTATCGTCTTTCAAACGACAAGCACACTCACAACAGAGACAATTCATTTTTTTCCGAGGTATACAATGTACTTCGTGTCTGTGGTAGGAAGCCTAACCTTGCCCAACCCTCAATCGCGCACAAAAATCCTGGGACACCAAGCAAGTTCTCCCCTCCTCCAGCTCACAATGTTGACAATCAGGTGATAATTAATAATCAGGGTTAAAAATCGCGACATTTTCCAACATTTATCAGGGGGATGGGTGATACGTTATCCAGCTCAACTGTCCCAACTACTTTTGTCCGAGATTGCTGATCATGAGTGAACTCTGGTAATGTCTGACAAACTGAAATAAAACATGTTTCTTTACTAGTGGTTTATTTTGGCAAACTGAAAGAATACATAATGTTTCTTTACAAGTGGTTTATTTTGACAAACTGAAAGAATACACAATGTTTCTTTACCAGTGGTTCATTTTGACAAACTGAAATAGTACCTAATGTTACTTTAATCAGTGGCTTATTTTGATAGAATTTATGAATATCCGGAAGCTACCAGTAATTCAAAGATTGATACCGAACGGATCGAACAGTAAAGATGATCACTGGAGATCACTTGATATATTATTTTTTAGAATTATTTTTCGATAACAACGTGCTTCTCCAGACTGGTGCTTCTCAAAACTATTATGTGTTTGCCTCGGCCTTACATCTCCCTCAATAATCGTGTCGTGATGTGCATGGTGTTTAGCCCGCTAACAGAAACCTCTCTACTGTCCTGGCGACTGAGTACGTAGTAGCAGCACTAGAGGTGAACACAGGCTTGGTCGGCTGCTTGTACGGTCTCGAGCTCAAATCATTTTTCCTTGTACAGGCATTTGCAGTAACACATGGTAACTCGGCTATAGGCCATCTGGAATCCCCTCCATCTCGAACTTCGATCAAATGCATGTTTAAGGTCGCTTCATACGTGTGATTTATGAATGACGAAAAGGTGGCGAAAAGCAGCTTCCCTGCTCCAGTTTTCTTTTTTAAATATCTTTTTTTTACTCGGGCGGTTGGGAACCAAAGAGCTACGCAAAGAAGCAAAGAACTCGTAATGAGCGAAGAGTCGACTGTTGCCACGATGCGACTTACTGAACAAACTTACGAATTATTTAAAGGTACATGTATAAAGAAACTCATATGAAAGTTAAAGAAAATTTCTTGTTTACAGATTGGCAGCTGAATAATTTCCTTAACGTTTTTGTTCAGAAATCATTCATGTCAATCAATTTAAGATTTTGCGTAAATGAATAAGCAAGAGTGCCGAACACTGAACTTTCAGCCAATCATGCAGAACGTGTGCAGAATCCAACCTGTATCATCATGATTTACATGCCATCCATGAAAAATTGGAAGGAGATGTAAACTTGTTTTGAAATCTATTCTGGTCTGGGAAAGGTACATGTATTTTCATTGTCTTTCGGGTTTAAATCCTTAAGTGGTAATAGGATTCTTCATTAGGTCTATTCAAATCTTGTCCAGGAACTTACAGTCAAATTGCAGGTAAGACCACAGTCTGCCATCATTTGCAGCACCAAATCTTCATCAAGGGTGGCTACATCTGCTGCCTGTGCAGCCTATAGAAGTAGTAAAATATGACTATTACCTTCTGAATTATGCCACTTTGGGCAAAATAAATCTGAGGTAATAGACTAGTGAAAAATACTCTCTGACAAAGACTGAACAGGGTGTCCACTACAAACAAATTATAGTAGTGAATGGCATGATGGAATAAGGGATTCAATGGGAACTAAGGTATGAATGAAAGCAGATACACAATGTAATAAATCAATACAAAATTACTTCAAACAAACAGAATTGCATATATGTAAACTTTTTTGAGGAAATTCTGGGCAAATTAAAGTCATATTTATTTTGTGAGGTACATTAATTTGCAGGTCAGTTGTAAATTCTACTAAGAAAATTATTTATCTAGCCTATATGTTATTTACCATGTCGATGAAGGACTTTACTTGAAGAGAACAGTCATCGATGGTTACTTTTGAGACTGTTTCCTCTAAATTCCCTGTTGCCAGGTAGTGATATATCCCTGGACTGAAAATTGGCAGGCCTGGACCACCGAGAAGTACACTATGCGCAACAATAGTTCCGCATAACTTCATTATGCCGCATGCAACCATATTGGCATTGTAGATGGGTTTCTTGTATTGTTCCCCTTCAAAAAACTCAGTTGCAATCAAACCTAACAACTGAGTGAAGAAATGACGTGTGACACCTCCAGTATCAGCTGCTGGCTGGCCGTTGTAAATGACCCGTAGTCTACATCTAGGGTCAAAATCTGTATCTTTGTAAAACGCCATGGCGTCGTTTAGTAGGTCATCCTGGTCCACTTTTAGTTTGACTTTTTCATTGCTGAGATTTGCCCTTAAACCACTGAGTAATGAAGGAAGTGTTACTGCAGCAAAAGTGGGTCTCATCAGCTTATCATCTTCTTCGTCGTCACTAACACTCATATCATTATATCCATTATCACAAGTTTCTTGAGGCATTTCAGTATTGGTTGATGCAGTTGTTATATGAAGGGCTACAGCATCTGCAGAACCATGCAACTCCAACAAGTTCTTTAGTGTTTCCTCCTGCCAGTCAGGAAACATTTCCTTCAAAGGAACAATGTTGCCTCTGCAAACAATAATGAGTGTCTGTAATGGGCTGCAAAGTGGGTGTTGCACTTAACTAACTAGAGAAAATTTGTAAGTAAAATTTTAGTATTATGTCCATTGTCAGTGCTGGTGTTTCATGGCTTGGAGCTCTAAACAACAAGCTCTAAACAACTTTCTTCAAGTTTACTTGTTTCAGACCATTCCCTTCTTGTTTCATTTTGTTAGCTAATATATATCTTAACCATGTGACATACATGTAGAAAGAAAAAAACATAGCATAGGGACCACTATCAGGCAACCAACCTTGTTAACATTTTAGTCTTTTGTGGGAAGAAAGGGGGGGGGGGGGGGGGGG